CGAAACGTCCGAGGTTGACTTTATATTAACATTAATACAGCATAATTATATATTAAGATTTTTGTTTGTTTTTTCTGTAAATTTTTCTTCATACTGTCGGATCTATATCCATATATTTGCTTACATATATATATATATATAACGATTTTCATAGTTATAACACATTTCTCACATTTAACTGCAATCCACCTAACATCATCCGTGAGTATGAACGTATTTTATTAAAAAATAAGTAGACATTCTATCTATCTATCTATTTCTATCTCTCCCTCTATCTCTCTTTCTCTCTCTCTCTCTCTCTCTCTCTCTCTCTATATATATATATATATATATATATATATATATATATATATAATAAATATAGTCTTAAGGTGTGCTATATTTATGGGATAAAGTGCTCAATATCAGAGATAGAGCGTGTGTAATATAAAAGTGAACATTGAAGTCAACATTTAGAGGCGACAATCTGTTTTATTCTAGACGGAGTCCTCAGGCCACGATTGCGTCTAGCATGAAACAGACTGTCGCCTCTAAGTATTGACTTTTATACACGCACACACATAAAAGAAGAGATTTGCTTTTGTTTTTCTTAAAATTATTAAGAAAATATCAAAATACATGACGCCATATTTTGATACGCTGGTACAATATGTAGGAAGCCATTACCGAAGACAAGAGTTAAACTCCGGAAGTTGGGTGAGCAATAAATCAAGTAAATTGCTTTTACGAATCATGCATCATGGCTGAAAATAGACTATTTTGATTTTGAGACCGTGTGTGTTGAAAATAAAAACAGTTAGAAATGGTGTTGACAACTGATTTTCGTTCGATCCCCGAAGTTAGACAGCATTAAACCTGCTCACTGCTTAAGGTTATTTTAACATTTATCATGCTTTGAGGGTGAAAGAGTTATGCATATCTTACTCGTTCCAGAAGCTATTGCTCGAGTACAGAGAAAAGCCCGGATTTTCGACACTGATTTTCAAGGTAACCTGCAGTTCCTTCAACTTTGGATGACGTACTATAAAATATGATATATATATATATATATATATATATATATATATATATATATATAATTGTTTTAGGCAGCAATCCTTCCTTTATATATGTTTCGTTAAAGACAGCTGACAAGGTACTGCGATTAAGCTTTTTATTTAATTTTTCTTGTGTTCGTACAAGTTTTTTTTATTTTCTGGACACAGAGTGTGTAGAAACTGTCCACATTTTCTGCATATCCAAGCGCATTCGGCTATTCTTCTAGTCATAATCATGGATATATATATATAAGGCGTGATGTGCCCCGGAGAGGAAAACCTGCTTATAGAAGTAGATAGACTGGAAGAGAAAGAGTGAGAAGAAGAAAAAAATGTTAGAAGATAAAAAAGATTACGTACATGGGCAGAGTGTGGAGAGTTTAGAGAAAGTAAACTTTAGATGAAGAGAATGAGAGAAGACAAAATATTTAAATATAAAAAAGAGAAAACAGAAAAACATTTTTAAAAATAAAATAAGTGGGGAGTAAAAAAAGCGATTACCGTCATTGGACCCCACAAAAATGATTTCTTTTTTTGCCTCATGAGACTTAAGTACAAAACGATCTTCGCATCTTTCAGAACTTAATCTCTGGTCAGTAGCGTTGGAATTTTTTTTTTTTTTTCAGTTTGACTCTGGGAAGAAAGTGCTATCGAAAAGTGCGTCTTATACGACGAGGAATGTGGTAGCAACAAAAGGAAAAAACAATTAAATTGGGTGAAGAACCGAGAAAGATGAAAATAACAAAAGGAGGAAGGAATAGAAAAGCAAAATGTAGGACGTAGAAAAGCTAAAAACAGAAGAAAAGCAAGACTGAAAGAAAGAGAAAGAGAAAAAGAAGGAAAATATTCTAACATGATGAAGAAAAAAAGGATAAAAAATATAAAATTGAGAAAAATTCCAGAAATAAATAAATAAAGAGAGGAAAAGAGACAGAGAAATAGAATGCATAACAACAAAAAAAAAAAAAGAAAGAAGATGGGAAACTTATAGATGAAGAAAAAATGACAAAATGAGAAAATTTAAGAAAGAGTGGAAGAAAGAAAGAAAAGACGTCTCATAAGGAAGAAAGAAAGAAAGAAAGAAAGGCTAATAAAAAAAGAAAGAAAGAAGGTGGGAAATGTAGTACATGAAGAAAAAAAAAGACAAAAGTGAGAAAATTTAAAAAAGAAGGAAAGAATGACTAAGAAAACAAGAATGAAAGAAAGAAAGAAAGAAAGAAAGAAAGAAAGAAAGAAAGAAAGAAAGAAAAGCTAACAAAAAAGAAAGAAAAACCAACGGAGAAAAAAAAAAAAAGAAGGAATGAAATCTAGCATGTTGAAGAAAAAAGGACAAAAACTAAAAAATGAGAAAAATTCCACAAAAAAGAAGAAAAATGAAAAGAAAGTAAAACATCAAAGAAAGAAAGAAAGAAAGAAAGAAAGAAAGAAAGAAAGAAAGAAAGAAATACTACAAAACAGAAAGAAAGAAAGAAAGAAAGAAAGATGGATGAAGAAAAAAGAAGAAAATGAGAAAATTTAAGAAAGGAAGGAAGAAAGAAAGATTGGCTAACAAAACAGAAAGAAGGTGGGAAATCTAGTAGATGAAGAAAAAAGGCAAAAAATATAAAAGTGAGAAAATTTAAGAAAGAAAGAAAGAAAGAATGATTAACAAAAAGAAACAAACAGAGACATAAAAGGAAGAAGGAGGAAATCTTCCATGATGAAGAAAAAAGGGACAAAAATTAGAAAAATTAGAAAAGTTCCAGAAAAAGAAAGAAAGAAAGAAAGAAAGAAAGAAAGAAAGAAAGAAAGAAAAAGAAGCAAAGCGTAAAAATGAAAAAAAATTAGATGAGAAAAAAAAAAAGGCTATAAAAAAGAACATTTCCAGAAATAAATAAATCCGCCATTGGGAGACATATCAATGATTTTTTTTTCTACTTGGTGATTCTTTTTGTACCGAAGTGCATGTTATATAGGATTACTATACTTAGCTAATAAAAGATTATACAGAACCGAGTCCATCTGCGCATGCACACGGCAGCGCAACCCGCCATAGTAGAACGGCCATTGCCGAAGCTCCACCGTCACGAACCAAGGTTGTACAGAGTGCAATAATATTAAACGAAAGAGTACTATTGGATTAATTGCAATCGACTTAACTGGATGGATGACGTATTGTTCTCACTGATTAATTATATCTTTCTACGCAACAGATTTTACAAGTACATAAAAGGCAACGAATGAGTATAGAAATTGATTTTATATCTCAGAAATATATCACATATTTTTATTCTTGTTTGATGTGTCTTACCTAAATTGTTAAAGTTCTATGCTTATAGAATTCGATTAATGACTCTGTCCCATAATAGATGCTACATTTAGTGTATGAAATATCTATAAAAATATAACAACTATTATGGGACAGCGGCAATACCAGGCAAACATGATTCTTTTTTAATTAAAGGGGGTATATTGCGCGTTTTCTTTATCTACTCATCTTTGCTAAACCTGATACAAGGCCACACACGTACTCCTTAGGGGTCACACATTCAAGTACTGAGGAAAGAAGGTTGGGATAACTTAACACTCGCAAGGTTTATTCAAAACAAGACAAACGAGAAAACAGTGAGTAATCGATTTTGAGTAGATAATAGAATGAGGACGACAAACAAAAAAGAAAGTGGTAAAGTATCAAAATTAATAAAATACAGGAAGTGGTGGAAAGTTTGAGCACTGATGTTATAGAAAAGAAATGATGAGAAGAGAAAAAGGTTGGAATTTAACCAGTGCAATTCTGTCTGCTTGCTTGGTTAAAACTAATTTACTTCGATTTAACTTGTTGATATTAGCGAAATGCGAGGATAATCGTCAGTCGATAATCGACAGAAAGAAAGAAAGAAAGAAAGAAAGAAAGAAAAATAAAAAAAGAAAGAAAGAAAGAATTAAGAAGAAAGAAAGAAAATAATGAAAGAAAGAAAAATGACAGAAAGAAAGAAAGGTGGGAAATGTAGTACATGAAGAAAAAAAGACAAAAGTGAGAAAATTTAAAAAAGAAGGAAAGAATGACTGAGAAAACAAACAAAAAAGAAAGAAAGAAAGAAAAAATAATGAAAGAAAGAAAGAAAAATGACAGAAAAATGACAGAAAGAAAGAAAGAAAGAAAGAAAAATAAAAGGATGAAAGAATGAAAGAAAGAAAGAAAAAACGAAAGAGAGAAAGAAAAATGAAAGAAAGAAAAATGAAAGAAAGAAAGACGGAAATATATAAAGAAAACAAAGATAGTAAGCTAATAAGAAAAAGAAAATAAAAAGCAACAAAGAAAGAAAAAGAAAGAAAACTGAAACTAACAAGTAAGGAAGAAAAAAAACAGAAAGAAAGGAAGAAAAGGAAAGAAATAAAGAAAGTAAAAGGAATAAAATAGATTACAGCGAAACAAAAAAAAAGCTTTTTATGCCTTCATTAAGTTGCGGAATTAAAGGTCTTAATCCAGCACTTAACCCGAAAGATAACAAAGCAAACACTTCGTTTCGTTCGTTCATGTCTACTGCTAATGTGGTCCATATCTTGGATCTAAACAGTTGACACATTTACATGTAGCAAGTTCATAACAAACAATGAGAAAGGGCTTTCAAGCAAAGATAAAAGTCGGTGGTCAGGAAGTTAAAGTAGGAAACCAATTCAAAATATCTTGGCTCGATTATCAACAAAGAGGGCGCTCTAGAATAGATATAATCTCAAGAACAACACAAACAATGGCAGCTGTCGTAAAACTAAGAACCAATAAAAACAAGAACATCTGCCTAGAATAGAAGTCTGGATTGTTGCGTCCATTGGATTTCTTAATCTTTCTATACGATTGCAAATATTGGACGGCAACTGCAGAATAACAACGAAGAATCCAAGCATTAGAAATGAGGTACTACAGAATCATCGTAGGCATCTCTTACGTAGACCGCATCACAAATGACGCAGTCCAAGACACCATCAGACTAAGAAAATGGCCCGTTGAAAGACCCCATAACCATCACCAAGAGATACTTGAAATTGTATGGCCATGTCATAATCAATCGTTCCACTGTCATTCTACAAGGAACTATCTTAGTTAAACGTAGAAGAGGCAGAGGAAAATGAACCGACAATGTTATTGAGACATATGAAAGGAACTGGTCATGTGATCATCTGCGTAATGACCCTATGACCACACCAGACACGGATGACGACGAATATGATGAGGAAAATCGTTATCTTTCCAAACAAGCTTGTCTTCAAACGGTCCCTGTTTCGCAACTTAAAAAAATAAAACTAGAATCAAAAACGAATAAAAAGAAAAGTATACGATTTTTTTTTGTTGTATTTGCCAGTTGTTTTAAGCGAACGTAATGATCCCTTTTGTAGAAATGACTAAACCACAATCGTCTTACAGTAGTCGGTGTTCCTGAGCGGTCACTCATCTAAATAGTATCAAGTCCAACGCTGCTTAACTTCGGAAATAAGACGAGAACCGATACTTTCAGAGTGACTTAGCAGAAGGTTTCTTTTATTTCAATCTGCTAAGTAACGGTTATCAGCATAGGAATTGGAATCGGCGATCCGTGTTCAATTTCCGACTCGGGCTGTTAGCGGTCATTTTCGCACAGATATCCTTGAGAAGGTGATAAATCAATCCCACGCCGCTATGGTCAAAATGGAGGGCAGAGTGGTCTTTTTAGAACTGAGTGACAGCCAAGTGGCTTTCTCTTAATTCAATACTGCGGAGAAAATCATGGTAATTAGCAGATAATATAGAGAAGAAATCTCTAAGGAGCCATGATCGCCAACGTCCTGAAGGAGCATGACATTAAGAAAAGTCCTCAAGAATCCCTAAGATAATTGCAATTCTTATCGATCATTAACAGAGCAATTGGCTGCCAAACAAAAAAAATCATCACATCATCGACGACCTACACTGGTAATTTTTCCTCGCTTACCCAACGGTATATGACATCACAGGCAATTGATTGATTTGTGTTTTATGGCTTATCAACCATTTGCAGGTTATTTAAAGCCAGATTTTTTTTTAGATTGTAATAATTTTTTTGAGATAACAATGGCTTACTGATTCATATCCTGCAGTTTAGAGGAGAGCTGGATTCATACCTTTCGCAAGGGTATTTGACTATAAAGAACACGACTGGGATTCGAGCCCTGATTTCGAATTCCAAAACGTTATCTATTACACCTCACGCACATCCAAACTTAGAGCACCTGGTATTCCGATGTAGTCACTTATATAGCTACCGACGTTCCTTAATTACGGTAATCTTGCAGTGTTTCAATGTGATATGGCCGTAAACATCATACTCAAGAATCAACATACATCAAGAAGCACCCCTACAACATGACACGAATGTAACAAATGTCATGGGCTCAACCCTAATGTTAACGTTCAAGTGTGATTTTTTTTCAGATTGTTATATAAAAAATTGGCAATTAAACGCCCATTGCCGAATAGATTCATCCGGTCAGTATATTTTTATCATTTGTTTTCTATTATGCTCTCTCTTTTTCTTCGTGTTGTCATAACAAGTTGGCTTTGTTGATCATTATAAATGAGCACTGAATTTGTTTCTCACTGTGTGTCATTATCTTAAACTGCAGTAAAATTTCAGTTGATTCCTCCAACCACGTCTTCAATTATCAAATTTTCCTATCCCTCTTCTCCTCCCTTATTTTTCTGTCTCTATTTCGCTCGCGTGGATGTGCGGATGGGGTAATGACTAGCAGCTGGGAGTGAGAAATCGGAGACCCGCGTTCGAATTCTATTCAGATTCATTACATATTTACTTACCCTTAGAAAAATCCTGAATCCATACCCTCCCTACAGCTATGGGTTAAATAGTAGGACATGTATCTAGAAAAATCAATACTATTCGCAAAAAATGTTAATGAAGTATCCACACGCAAAAAAAAAAGAATTACTCTTAAAATCCATGAAATCTTTGGGCTTTAAATAACCTTCAAGGGATTCGTAAGCCATTTAAAAATTCGTTCCCACTTCCTCCTTCAATGCTTAAAATAAGCAGATATCGAAGAAAATATACATAGGATTAATTGAAGGACCCAGGAAACAGAGAAACTAAGCACACAAAATATCCTTTATAAATAGTAAATACACGAACAGCAAAATTCTTTCTAAAAATATATGGGAAATTAAAAACAAAAAGTAACTTACACCAAAAATACCATGGAAAATAAGAAAAACAGCATTAGCTTACAACAATAAATAAAAAATTCTGTAAACTTTGAAGCAGAAAATTTCTATGATCGCCTTCCTAACACAAATTACTAAATAACTGATCAGAATTTATCTCAAAATACAGACACGAAAACAAAGTTTTGCTATGTTACTTAAAAATCTAAAACCTAAAATGAATATCTTGTAAAATACCACAATGAAAACTGCAAATATACGAGCTATATACAATGAAAAATGCAAATATATGTGCTATATACAATGATAACAGCAAATATATGCGCTATATATTCAGATGGTGTGACGTACTTTAGGCAATGTCAATACTTTAAACTAAATAAGATAAACCAATGCATAAAAAATAAACAAAAATATAAAAAAAACAAATTAAGCAATTAACAAACAAATCATAAGTCATAAACACAAGTAAAAATAATAATAATAATAATAATCAACAATAAAATCAAATAACTGCATTAGGATCCACAATTATTTCTGCTCTATAGACTCAAAAATAATCTGAAACATAACCGTTACCGCCCACCCAGTAATTAACAGGATAAGGCAATAGACTTTCTACCCATAATGCACCACTGACAAGCATATATAAATAGTCTATCCCAAACACAACACACATGGCCTGAAGATCTGTCGTCGCTTGGTGTTGACCTCACTGTTCGCTTTTATATTTGCATACGTTTTTATCTTTGATACTGATGACTTTTACCCATAACATGCATTAAACCAAGTGTCGGTAACATCCGACCCGCGAAAGATTATTGTCCGGCCCGCCAAATTAAAATCTGATCACTGATTATCTAATTAATTTGTGGAGCATTTGACAGAGAAAAAAAAATATCAGTTGATGTTAATTGACTTACACTGCGACGAATTTTTTAAATCAAAATTTTATTCCGAATCAAATGCTGACTTCTACACGAAATATGTTTTTCCCAGCGGAAAATATAAAAAAAAAAAGCTATTGAATAATGTGAAAATGATGGGTTCATTATTTGGAACACACATATACTTGTGAACAACTTTTTTTCGAAAATGAAATATACAAAAAGTCATTTAAGAACAAGTCTGGGTGATGACCACCTGGAAATGATCGATACATATTTCACCTGATGTGGAGAGGTTTTCGAACAATAGACAGAAACAAGTGCCTCATTACGTAAATTGTAATTTCTAACTGTATTTCATTTGTAGTAAAGAATTTGCATTATTCGTTGTGTTAATTATTACCCTGTTATTCCTGCAGTAAAATAAGGAACCTTCTTTCAATGATATAGCATTAACTTCGTTGCTTTTTTCTCTAAACCTCCAGATCAGTGCAGTGTTCTGGACGGAGCAGTCTGAGATTGAAACAATTTATTATGGTACATTTGATATCATGGCCCTGCTCAGAGAAACTGCATAGCTTTATGGCCCACTCTCTCTAAAAGGTTGCCGACCCCTGCATTAAACTATACTTATATATAAACGAAAAAACTTGAAATGAAAAAAGAAATGAAAAAATCGCAAAACGCTAAACAAAGACCCCCACCCAAAAAAAAAACGACAAAAAATGACAAATGAAAACATAAACAGTACAGAAAAGAAAAGACAGGCCAAAAGACAGACACCTATCTACAAAGCAATCCGAAATATTCAATGTCCAAATCAAATTGATTAAGACAGAGGAGTAACCCTAATCGCGAGACCGTAACAAAAAAAATTCATTTCAAATCGTTACTCTGAGTCTCTTGCAACGTGATCGTCAGGTGATGTTGAAGCTTAAATAAGCATGGAATACTACAACACAAAATGTTTAACAAAATGTATTGAAACAAAGAATAGGTAACCCAGTTAGTTTGGTATATTCTTGGGAAGACTGTTCCTGCATAATGGGTTGACTAAATCGCAGTCAAATTCTCTGTTCAAATTCTTACTATCTTCCCCGTCTTCCGGTACCAACCCATATTTATATGGTCGGTAGTCCGCTTATGTAAATTAGGTGTATCATACACAACAGGTGACAAGCATCCCAAATATCTATATGGATATTTTTAAGGCAAATGTTGTTAAAGATGACGAGCGTTTTTGTGCCAGTTCATTTTACTGATCGATTTTTCCAAATTACGAATTAACCTTCTCAGTTAAGGATGAATTTGCGTCAGAAATTTTGGAAAAGATATGGTCCGCGCTTTCGACTTTTTTTAAGTCATGAACAGGGTACGTAGAGACAAATGGTGAGTTTCGTATAACTGGTGAGTGTAGTGACATGAGTAAAGAGTATTGTGACGTATGTGAGTTGTGACGTATGTGTGCGTTTTTATTTTATTTTTATTTTTTATATAAATTTGAGGGTGCGCTTTCTTAAATTATAATTTTTTTATTTATTGATGGTTTTCTTTTATGAACATTGCTTCGAGGATCATAAGTCTTTTTTGCTATTTTATTTTGCTAGTATTTTCGTATTTTTTGTGAGTAGCTGTCTAATGTTACTATGATCCTTATAGTTTTTATTAATGTGTTGTCTGATGGCACTCTGGTTCGATAGGTGGCAGGGGATTCTCCGTGAGAGTGTGGTTGTGGTGCTTCCTATGTAAAATGTTCTGTATTTTTTATTTGCAGAGAAACCTTCTCCGAGTGAGAAAGTATGCTCATACACAATATTGGTTTGTATATATGAATATATTTAGTGTCCTTTCCTGGATTATATATCTGAAATATAAGATAAAACTGTGTAGCATTTTGTTTTTATTAAACAAGTCTAAAACTACTTTTCAAACATGGTTTCTAAGTTTTTCCTTTCCTAATAGAATGTATTAGAGTCATCTCTGTAAAGTATTTCCTTGCCATGAAATCTCAAGGCGACGGCGTGTGTTTCTTATCTTTGTCTCTAAGAGCGAAGATGCCTTTTTTTTCTCTTTAAGATAAGAACCTGCAAGAATTTGTTTCCAAAATTTCTTTTTGTAATATAAAGGATTAAGAATTATTAGTATACCGTGGAAGCTTAACAACATTTTCTCGTAATGTGGACACTATGAAGGAAAATTTAATTTATACATACACAGATAGATCGATAAATAGATTAATTGGAATTATTACATCGAATATATAATGGCGTGTTATAGGTCAATTCAATGTGGTACAAAGAAGTTTTTTTTTGCATCGTATCGTGACCAGCAATGAAAAGTGAATACACTACGATGACTCAACTCGTAGAAGATCGTGCATCAGCTTCGGTGTCAAAGCCGAATATCCATGGTCCAAACTTCTGCTCTGCGTTTGGTGTGATCAGCTGGGTGTAGTTTATTATGAGCTGCTCAAACCGACCGAAATCCTCGCGGGAGATCACTGTGGACTACAATTGATGCGTTTGAACCGAGAATTGAAGAAAAAGATGGCAGCTATGCGAGCAGAGTCACGACAAAGTGATTTTGCAATATGACAACGCTCGGCCATATGTTGCAAAACAGCTGAAAACCTACTTAGAAACGCTTAAATGGGAAGACCTACTCCCCCGCCGTAATCACCATACATTGCCCTCTCCGATTACCACTTCTTCCGATCGATGGCACATGTCCTGCCTGAGCAGTAGTTTCATTCTTATGAAGATACCAAAAAATGGGTCGACTCGTCGTTAGCCTCAAAAGACGTGACATTTTTCCGATGTGGAATTCAAATGCTGCCAGAAAGATGGGAAAAAGTAGTGGCTAGCGATGGACAATACTTTCAGTGACATGTTTCTTACTAATTTTTGTAAATAAAGCATTACTTTTCACGAAAAATCAGCGAGAACTTATTCAAGGTCCTAATATATTATATGAAATACTTACACTATTTACATTATTCGGGCAGTTATCCTTATCTTCATTACTATATTCACAACTTTTCGGTCGTTGCATGCTCTGGCCTTCTTATTAGACAAAATTACAAGTAATAGTAAAAAAAAAAATTTAGATTACAAGCATTACATTTTTGGGAAAAAAAAGCTCATAAGAAAATAAAATATCGGTATTAAATGACCCATAAGGAGTCTATATGCCGTTAAACAAACTGTAACTTTAAACTATATCTACCATCAAGCTATATTGAAATGTTTAGATAATATTTGAATAAATGATTCATTTTCAGTAATAAAGGAGACGTTTTATATGCTGAAAATCATAGCAATATCTTCCAGTAATAAAGCAATACGAGAGAATTAGCGTCAAATGAAAATGAACAGTCGTATTTGTGCCAGAAGCTCACCAAAGTGTTACCTGATAACGGAAGACATATTTGGTACCAACATTGCAAGTTTGATTGCGAAGATTTCGTTCCTAGTTATTTGAGTTGTCTTCCTTCTCCAAAATTGCTTGTGGGATACTTATTAGATTATTGAAACACGGAAAAAGATAGAAATAAATGTGTCTTACAATAGATCTCCAACTACGGAGAAACATCTTTTGCAATTGCATTTTCCAAGAATTTAACCAAAAATTCATTCGTATTATTTTGAAGGGTTTCTTTGTCATGAAACTTTCAACATGAACCCAAACACGTACACATATATAATTAATTAAAAAAATGTACACACACACACACATACATATATATATATATATATATATATATATATATATATATATATATATGTATGTGTGTGTGTGTGTTGTGTGTGTGTGTGTGTGTGTAACAATCGTTTAGCGTGCCAGAATTTTCAGACATTATTTAACGAGCCCAGGGATGTGGATTCATGCCTTTTCACGGGTCATTCGAGCAAAGGAAACAAAAAAGTTTCCCGTAATTCGAGCCCGGATTTCACTAGATAGATAGATAGATAGATAGATAGATAGATAGATATGAATAGACTGAAAGAGATGTATAGACATGGAGGGTATATATGTCAGCCTGTTCCTATCTATCTATCTATGCATGTTCCTATATAACCCTCCATACCTATACATCTATTTCAGCCTCTCTTTCTCTCTCTCTCTCTCTCTCTCTCTCTATATATATATATATATATATATATATATATATATATATATGTGTGTGTGTGTGTGTGTGCATGAATAGATAGATAGATAAATATAAACAGACATAAAACATATCTGAGACAGGCACACACACACACACACACACACACACTCACACTCATATATATATATATATATATATATATATATATATATATATATATATATATATATATATATACCGGGTGTAACAGCAAAATTGTACAAATCGTGTTCTCGTGTTACAGAATAATTGTCCATCCCAGGAAATGTTTAATATCTAAAAAATTGCTGAACTAATTGAGTTTCATTTTTTTAAAGGTTTTCAGATAAGACGTTTAGCCATCTTGATATCATTTGTCGTAAGAATCACTGAAAAATTCAACTGAAAACAGGTTAAAATCGTTTTATGTCAGCCTACTTGATCAACGGTGTCTTCTCAACTGATGAGAGGGAAAAGATCATTCAGGCCTTTAGTAATGGTACCAACATTCATACTCTAGCTTCCATCGTCAAAGCCCATTCAAGAAACATTACGAGAACGTTTAATAAGTTTAAAAAGAGGGAACATAGAGAGGAAAATGAATCAGGAGGTCACAACAACAAGAGGGATCATCATTTGAACTTAGAACTAGATACAATCTCCTGGTTCAAAGTAGACTCCAGTAGTATTATTAAAACCTTGGAGAATTCCATTAAGATATATTTAATCATTTCTAAGATACAACTGTTGAAAGCTTAATCTAACAATTGGAAAATTTTATTATTACACCAATATATATATATATGCATATTATGAAATAGACAAAGTCCGACAATTTTTTAAGATATTTTTATTTTTGTACATTCTTTTTATAGATATAAATATTCAAGTAAAAGCTCTGTTTTATAATAAACAGTATTAATAAAATCTAGCGGCCTGAATTTCCGAGAAATTTTCATTGAAAATATTTGCGCTCCAACAGGAATCGAACCTGTATCCTATACGGAACCGTCATATCGCCTGACGTGCCTTAACCTCTCAACCATGGAGGATCGTTCGATTAGCAAGGTCGATTTTTCTGCTTTTAAACTTCAGTCTTCCATGAATCTCTCACGTATATTCATATCTGCTCAAAGCGTATCCAAATGTAAACAAATGACGTTACACATTATGAAATGGACAAAGTCCGACAATTATTTTAAAACATTTTTATGTTTCTATATCTAAAGAGAGAGAGAGAGAGAGAGAGAGATATGAACAGACTAAGATTGATAGATATGTGAATAAAAAGATAGATAGATAGATAGATAGATAAGAATAAACTGATATATATATATATATATATATATATATATATATATATATATATATATATATATATATATATATATATATATATATATATGGCGACATGGTGTAGTAATGGACTGAGGAATCAGGGGGAGTTCGAATTCAGTCAAATCCATTACATTCTCTTACGTGCTAATCCTCTTCTCCTCCTCCCAGTTAAGGGTAAATAGCAGGACAGAACGGGTTCTATAGCCTTGGATGGCAACTAGTCTACCGCAGAAAGAAATTGCAACCTACTGCAGGAACAAAATCTGCCTCGTCAGTCATGTATCGAAAGCTACATGAATGACAAGGCATGGTCGCCTCAGCGTGTATCACGTATGGCACATAACTAACATATATATATATATATATATATATATATATATGTGTGTGTGTGTGTGTGTGTGTGTGTGTGTGTGTGTGTGTGTGTGTGAGAGAGAGAAAGAGAGAGGAATCGGCGGAACAAATTGCTATTAAATTCTCACCTGTTTATTGATTTCCATACACAATAGAGCCGTTGAAAAAAAACATTTCTGTGAATTCATTCCGTGTGGACTTTTTTTTTTCTGATGGCAGCGGGGAAGGATGGAAACAAATCTGGAAAAGTATGAAATGTACGCCCGAAGTGAGGGGTGGGTACTTACCTAAATATAGTCGAGTTACGGAAGAAAAATCCATTTCCCAGAAGCAGGGAAATGTCGTCTGGAAATAAAACTCAGCACTTTTTTTTTTTTTTATTCTTGACAAACATAAAAACTGTTTTGCCGAAATTGCATATCACAAAATGAACCAGAAATGAAAGGGAAGAAAGTGTTGATAAAGTGCATTTAAATATGTCGACAAAAAAAAAAAGCCTGACCCAGTGGCACAGAAAAAAATCGGTTCAGAGAGAGAGAACGTCTTGGAACTTGACATGTTAGTAAAATTAAATTACTTAGCCTAAGAAAGAGGCGATTGCAAGCTGCGAAGCCCATGTCGATGATCACGAGAAGTGGGAGAGAAAGTGCGGGAAATAACTGGAATAAACAGGTTTGGTTTGGTTTGTTTTCATTTAAAAGTTGGCTTGCTCTTTCATGACTAGACCTATCTGTATATTTTCAGCGGTAGGTAACGCTTTCAGTTCGGAGTGATTTGTGATGAGTTTAGTATCTGAGTAGTTTCTAAGATTTGTTTACACATTATTTCAATCTCTTTTTTTTTTTTTAATATTATTGTCTTCGTTTGGTTTGGTTTGTTTAACGGCATGTCAACTTCAATGAGTTATTTAATGCCGAAAAAATTTTTATGGCTGGTAATATATTTTCAAAAATGTATTGCTGATAATAATGTATTGCTGGTAATAATTTTTTTCTTTAAAAATTCATTGCTGGTAATAATTTTTTACAAAAGTGTATTGCTGGTATTAAAACCTATTTTTACACGTTTCGACACAAGTTAGGGGGTTAACTATTTGTCCACAGCTGGGACCCTAACAGGTGCTACCACACCGGGTAAGGGTGGACCTGAGAACACCAGCAATTAAGAGGTGGTTCCACGCTCCTCAAAACCTCCTGATCAGAAGCCTTGCTGTTGGATATAGTTTATCGTCTTACCCACGACGCGGATCGTCATACCCAGGACGAGGAATAAACAGGTTATACAAAATTAGGAAGAGTACTGAAGGCGTGCGAAAACACGTATTGAGAGAGGGAAGATTGAGATAGAAAATGAGAGACAGTGAGAGAAAAGGCATAGGTGAGGATATAAATCTGTGTAGAGATTTCAGTTGAAACGAAAAACTTTTGTACACATTCACAAGTAATAATAATCCGACACATATATATATATATATATATATATATATATATATATATATATATATATATATATATATATGTGTGTGTATGTATATATATATATATATATATATATATATATATATATATATATATAACTCAGGCTCGGTTATTGCCCTTTAGTAATTGACCTCTCCAAGTTTTTGTTCACCTCTGCTGTGACCTTGTATTGAACTCACAACTGTTTGGGATTACTTCAACCAACGTTTTTATTAGTGGATAAAAGCGTTGATTGGGCAATCCGTGATATATATATATATATATATATATTGATATATATATATATATCGGGTGTAACGCCAAAATTGTCCAAATCGTGTTACAGCATAATTGTCCATCCAACAAAATATTTAATATCTGAAAGAAAAAAAAAGCACTAAACTAATTGAATTTCTTTTTTCCGAGTTTTCAGATAAGACGTTTAGGCATTTTGACACCATTTGTCGTAAGAATCACTGAAAAAAGCCTTTCAGTTATCCAACTAGAAAGAGAACAGGTTAAAATCGTTTTGTGACAGCTCCACCGACCAAATAAACAAAGATCGTTTAGGCCTTCAGTAATGACACCAACATTCATACTCTGGCTTCCATTTTCAATGTCCATTCAAGAACCATCGAGAGAACGGTGAATAAGTATAAAAATGAAGCAACAGTAAATAGAAGAATAGCTCAGGAATTTGCAACACTAAGAGGGATCATCATTTGAATTTAGAGCTAAAGAAATCAACCAGGAAAGATCCAACTCAATCCATAAGATTTTTGGCACGTGAGAGAGGAGTTTCAGCTATGACAGTCGAAAGAGCAATGAAAAAAGTCATGAAAATGAAATCGTACGCGAATCGTGTCAGGCAACTTGTTACTCGAGGAGAAAAAGTTCATCTTGAATAAGTTGGAAAATGATCCTGTCATAATATTTTTATATTTGAACGTAATTTCAATCCTTCATGAGCTTCCTCTTCTTAGCTATGATTAATTAATAATGAACATCTCATTTTCGTTTATGATCGATTTCATCACCATTCTTCTGTTTAGCTTTGAGAGTAATTATACATTCTTATTGGTCAAAGTAGAATTCAATAGTGTTATAAAAACCTCGGGAAATTCTAGTAAGTTATCTTTCATCATCTATAAGTTGCAACGGTGCAACGCTTAATCTAACAAATGGACAATGCTTTTACACGATTTGGACTATTTTGCTGTTTCACCCGGTGTATGTATATATATATATATATATATATATATATATATATATATATATATATATATATATATTGATGTGTATTTTGGGCAGTAACCTTTCTTTCACGCATCTTTCATTGAAAACGGCCAAGAAGATTTGATTAATCTGTTATTGTGTTTTTCCAGCAATCAAACATTTTCCACGGTTAAAGAATATAGGAATTGTTTATAGTTATAATTGTTCCGAGCGCTTTCGGCTACTTCTCTAGCCATTATCAAAGATGGTGAAATTTCACAGTCCAAAACATCCTTGATAATGAGTAGAGAAATAGCTGGGAACAATTATTACTATGGACAATTTAAATGGACATTTTATAGATAATAATTAAATCTTGTCGGCTGTTTTCAATGGAAGATGCATATATATATATATATATATATATATATATATGTGTGTGTGTGTGTGTGTGTGTGTGTGTGTGTAAATTATATAAAAATTGTCCGAATGCTTTTCAACCGCTTCCGGCTAAACCTTCAGCCATTATCGAGGATGAATTTGTCTTACTTTTAAATGCATATATTTTATTTTACTTTTAACTGAATCTATGCACTGTTTTATGTATGTATCTCGACCTCTAAAAAAGCTTTATTTCCTATAATAGGAAAGTTTTATTTCCTATAAAAAGTTCCGGAAGAAAGTCTTATGGAGTGATGAGACCAAGATTAATCTCTTGGAAAAGCCAAAATACGGAGAAAGAAAGGATCTGCTCATCTGTGAAGCATGATGGAGGCAGTGTCTTGGATTGGGCTTGTTATGGTTGCTCCTGGAACAGGCTCATTCATATTTATTGATGATGTAATTCATGATGCTAGCAACAGAATGAATTCAGAAATCTCCAGAAGCATTTTGTCTGCCAATTTATAGAGAAAAGAATTCAAACTAATCGTGTAGAAGTTTATCATGCAGGAGGACAATAACTCATATATATATATATATATATATATATATATATATATATATATGATAAAAAATATAGTTTTATGGTATGCTATATTTATGGGTAAAAGAGCACAGTATTAGAGATAGAGCTTCCCTGAATGCACAACGTCGAACTTTGAAGTAAATGAGCTACATTAGCAGAAGACCGCACCAGGTGCCACTCTTCACAAACGAGAAGAAGAACTGAGGTTACAGTTGGCTGATAATCTTGGAAAAAAGATTTGAAAAACTTTCCCCGGTCTACAGTCTCGATTTCTCCTGCGACATTCAGGTGGTAGAACCATATTTTGGCTTAAGTAACATGAAACTATGGATTTATCCTGTCTTGTATAAACGGTTCAAATGTATGGTAATGGTGTAATGGTATCAGGAATATTTTTGACATACATTGTTACACATGATACCAATAAATTATTGTTTAAATGTCACGGTCTTCCTGTATAACATACCAGACCATATGCATCAGTTTATAACTACGGTGCAGCCATCTCTTTGCTGGTCATTTCTAGCAAGACAACACATCATGTGATAAATCAAATATAGTGACAGATTGATTAATTAAACAAAGCAATGTGTTTTCTGTGTTAAAGTGGCATCCGCGGTCACTGGATCTCAATCACATCGAGTACCTTTGGGATGTGGTGGAAAGGGAGATTCGAATCCTGGATGTATGGTGAATCAATCTAGAAGAATTACAGAACCCAAATTTCGAAAGACTGTTTCCAGAACGTCGTTGAAGTCATATCAAGGAGAATTGAGGGGTTCTAAATGCAAAGGAGAGACTATTCCGGCACTGGAAGAGTATACCTTACTGTTGTAACATACCTACGGACGATAATGAGTATGCCACTAGTCTCATAAATACAGTAGTAAATACTGTATGTTGGTCTGCAGTTGGAGATTCATTGTGGAATTCACTTGACTCACTTCTAGCAGTTGATTACTTCTACGCGCGGCTGGCGAATCTTATATGTTTTGTTTGTGTCCTAAGTATTATCATTCATTACCAACCATCATGTGATTATTCCATTCAGTAACCTTCGCTAAGTTACAACACTTATAAACTGAGTTGTCAATGCATATTATGAACGTATATCTCAATTCCTTTGGTCGTGGGAACAACAGTAATCGAAACCGTAAATTTCATTGGAATGAACGATCAGTTGCATTCGTATATCCTGGAGGTATTTAAAACCCTTTAACACGAAGGCAGCTCGTCATAAGAAACAAAAAACCATGTCAAATAAGTGGTAAAAAAAAAGGAAGAGAGAGATAGAGAGGAAGAGAAACAAGCAGACAGCCAGCCAACCTAGTCATATTAATGAAGTTTTTTTCCCCCAACGAAATGGTGACCCGGATTAATTTATTTGTTCACCGTAACCGGAGTTCATTGGGCTTACTCGGTCCCTTGTTTCAGTCATCTCCTTGGAATATTGATCGACATGTCACTTCCTACATCGAAACTGCCTTTGTTGACAACGGAGATTCATGTGACCTATTAGCGTGGCATTGTTACGAGCGACTTCAAATCGAGGTCATCGTGCTGAACAATAGTTAGCCACAACCCAACCCGACCAGAACACGCTCGTATCTCCAACCTCATTTTTCATTGTTACTCTTCCTTATTTTTGTTCCGTGATATGTGCAAACACTCCGCACTCTACATACTAAGTAACGCTCACGCATGCACTTACAGATAAACAAACTACAGAATTCACACGTACTTTCAATTAGTTTACGTGAAAGATCGCTCAATAATTTTACGCCCGACCTACCACGCCTTTATGATGCCTATCAAGTCTTTAGGACTTTCCAATATATGTACATCAGTAATTACTCAATAATAATATTCCCATGCACAAACCCACTCATGTCCAGTTCATAAAATCTTGCAGAGTAAGCTATTATTTTTTATACTACAATTATTCACTGACTGGCATATCTACACATGCAGGTACACACACACGCGCACACACACACACACACACACATATATATATATATATATATATATATATATATATATATAATATCAGTCTGTTCATATCTATTTCAGTCTGTTCATATCTATTACATTCTGTTCCTATTTATTTTATTTTATTTCTATCCATATGCCTGTTCTTATCTATCTATCTATCTATCTATCTATCTATCTATCTATCTATCTCGATAGATACTTCAGTTTGTTTCTTTCTTTCTTTGTTAACTGTTATCTATTCTATTTATATCCAGCGATCTATCAAGCGATATAGTTCTGCCCAAAATACGCAATATGTCTTTCCGATCTGCCCTCTGGTGAGGTATGAGAGTATGAGTTTCTTTTAAAAGGACAAATCAATATCGTTTGTAACTCTTGAGATACCCGATGCAATCTATCGATCCAGGCTCTCATATTTATTGGTTCGTCGCTCCATCAATCAGTCTTTGAAATAGTCTCCACCCTATTTCCGTACAATCGCCTGTACGTGTCTCTTCTTAAATTCATATTCAAATCACTTCGTTCAAAGTTATGTTTTAGTCTTTCAATATTTGGCGATAAAGTATTTTCATCATTAGATTTTGACTATTTTTTAATCATTTCACTCCACGCAAGGCAGCAAAGCCACTAAGATTGAAAGGTTAGGAAAAAGCAAAACATTATTAAGCAGAGAGAAGAATAAAAGCAGAGGAATGAAGACGACAGTAAATAACGATTGATATTACATTTAAACTTTGGAAGATCCAAGTTGGCTGGAAAGTAAGAAGCCGGAAGTGAGTTCTACAAGCGATACGTGCAAGAGAAGAAACTTACGGTTACATCTAAACTAAATCGACTGTAAATTGTTGCCAATCTAGTACTGCACTTAAATTCATAAAGTCTAGGTACCATAGAAGAAAGTTCGTCAGACAGTCATCATAGAAGTATTTTCTTGCCAATGGTCAACCCTGGCTGAGAACCATGACGCGTAGCGTGTCACTACCTAACATGCTGTCACCTTTTTTGAAAATACCTGCAGGGCCGCTCTCAGGGACAAGAAGCGGAGGAGGAAGTACTGCAACGCGATGCCATCGAGCCCAGGCCGAACTTTGAGCTGTAACTACTGCCACCGTGTATGCCTGTTCCGCATTGGACTTATCAGTCACAAACGTACCTGCAAGTAATGTGTGCAGACTACATCTTGATCTTCGTTTTGCGATGCCAAGCCATGAATTTTCTTCATGTTATTGTTCCTTCTTTAACGTGGCTTTCTCGGTCGAAAGTTGAAAGAGAAAAATTAACTCCCGAAAATATTTTATTGACTCGAATCGTATATTCCAGAAATCTGTCTTACATGGATGATGCTTGAGCTAATTAAGCCACAAAATCCTAAACGCTAAACTAAATTTCTGGAATGAGGAGTTGTCATTATTTACATGCGGACTATTGTTCTAATCTTTGTTGTTATTATCACACTTCGGTCGTTGGGTTCTCCGACCTTCATCCGAACAACCCTTTATTTAACCTACGAAGATAGATTGTTCTCTTTCTTACTTTCGTATTGCTCATTTACTGCTCACCCTCTTTCTACTGGACTTATGGCCATATCACAAAATGAATGATGAAAGTCAATCCACACATTTTCTTTGTTCACTGAGAATTGACAACGAAAATATTAAACACCATTTATTTACTAGATTGTTTGTTGACAAGAATAATTTTAAATTTACAACATTCTAAAAAATAATACAATTGTATACTAATGCAATATTTACGCAGTATTAATTATTTTCCAATTTATAAAGAAAAAAAATATGAAGACAATCTTTTATTCATAAATTTGGAAACATTTTCTAAATTATTAAAATATATGAACTATGTATGAAGAAATCCGTATTATTTACCATTTCAGTTCGAATCAGTTGGCAATTATCCGATGTTTTGCCAACCATTCCAATAAACGATATAATAAATAAATAGTGTAAATGAAGAATCTAATAAATAAATCAGGTTTATTATTTTTCTTGTCTTTTCAAGATCAATAAAAATGTATAAATTCACTTTCATATGTTTAGGATTTATAAAAATTCTAATCATCACTTTTAAAAACAATAAGCATTGCCGACGAGTGAAGGCAATTAGAATAATAGCTGTATCAAGTGAAAAACCCGTTCTTTTGATATATATATATATATATATATATATATATATAATCTATCAATATATATATATATATATATATATATATATACATACATATATATATATATACATATATATATATATATATACATACATATATATATATACATACATATATATATATATATATATATATATATATAATCTATCATATATATATATATATATATATATATATATATATATACATATATATATATAATCTATCAATATATATATACATATATATATATATACATACATATATATAAATCTATCAATATATATATATATATATATATATACATATATATATATATATAATCTATCAATATATATATATATATATATATATATATATATATATATATATATATATATATATATAGATTAGCGATAGGATTCCGATGCTGCTTCTGTACGAAAGAGACTTCTGATAATAAATAATAACAATGATAATCTTTATATAATTGTGTTTTTTCCTACCTTCGTTGATTAGCACGACCGTTATGTCTTACCAATACGTCATCAGTAATGGACTATTCCGTTTTCACTGCGTGGAAAGATTATCTGGACATTGTTCGAAAATAATTGGTCGAAAACAATTATTCCAAAAACATTTATTCGTGTTGTAAATTGTTTGAATTAAAATTAATCGAAAGGACATTTATACAAAATGATAATTATTTGAAATGCAAAATTATTTATTGCAATAAAAATGTAAAAATTAAAAGAGGGAATACACAAATGATAATTATTTGAAATACAAATATCTTTAATAAAGCAATTTAGTCAGAAAAAGTCCTTATAAGCCTAAGTTTTATGATACTGCACAGAAATAGTCAAATATTGAAGAGTACTCGTTAAAGGATGCCACTAATGTTTTAAGCTTTCCATTTACGTCGCGGTATTTCTTGGTGACCTTGATATTTTGGCAACCTGATCTTTCTTTGCAATATGAATTTCTTGCAAATCATATTCTCTTTTAAGAATGTCTAAGAATTTCTATATTACGAGATGATTGGATGACACTTGCTGCGAAAAATCTCTATGCTGTCTTTCAAGGGCGTTATTAATTCTAAGTAAATCAGCATTGACTCTCTCAAAGCAAGATCACATACGTATTTCAAACATAGGTATTTCGAATAATTATCATTTAGTATAATTATGTTTCAACAGAGAATCAAAATAGGAAAATTGAAATTTTCACGAGTTAATAATAATAATAATATTAATAATAATACAATTGTTACAGGTCTTTTATCATTTTTTATCATAGAACCTGTAACAATATTATGGGACTACACAATAAACACAAAGGCAGAACAATCAAAGCTAATCGCCCAGACATTGTAATTAGGGACCGCAAAAAAAAAAAAAAGTTCTTTATTTATATGGCAGTCCCTGCAGACTGCAATGTATCTTTGAAGATCTTCAAACAGCTATCAAAATACAAGGACCTTGAAATCGAAATCTCAAAAATGTAGCTCATGGGAACATCAACAATGTCTGTTGTAGTTGGAACCCTCGGATTGGTTGGAAAAGATTCCAGTAGACTCATAGAATGGATTCCTGTGAGCCCATGTCTTAAAGAAATACAAAAAAATGGTTTCCACGAGTACAGTACACACCTTATGAAGGGCTTTATCTATATAAAATATGTGTGTGTGTGTGTGTTTTTTTTTTATTATTCAGTGGAAAATGTCATGATTCCATTTCTGACCTTAGGTCTTTGGGAGGGACCCTGAAAGAAATATGTACATACCAGAAATCAAAGGAAATAAAACAATACTACTACTACTACTAATAATAATAATAATAATAATGGAATTTTTGAAGAGAAGGATAGCGATATGAAAGTAGATTTGAGTTCAACCTCGCTTTTAGGCTTCCCTGACTGAATTGGTTAAAACGCTGTCCATGAAAGAAGTTTTTTACGGGGCCGCATAGAAACCATGAAACGTAAAAAAAAAAAATGATCAAAAATTAAAAAAATGAAAATTTTCATCGAATTCAAGTAACTTTAGACTCTAGATTAAAACTGAAAACTACTATTGTTATGTATTATATTCTCCGTGTATATACCACCGTGAAGTATAGGGCCTCACTACGCCAGCTGTACTACGGTTATCACTACTAAGATAATCTATTGTGAAGACTTGGAAGAGAGGAATAAAAAAAATATCTCTAGATTTGAGCCGTGTTCCGCCTTTGGGTTCATGTTGTTGGATTGGTTGAGACGCTGGATATGAAAGACCAGGTTCTGTAATATAGGAGAAAATTTCAGCTTTCGTCGGAAGCAACTTCTTTTATTAGTTTTATACTGTTTATTTCAACGATCGGAGAGTATATTGTGATTAAAAACAATAAGACGAACAAAGCTAACCGAAAATGAATAATGAAAATTTTCATCTCCGAATTCTACTATTACTACTACTACTAATAGTACTATTACTACTACTAATACTACTACTACTACTACTAATAATAATAATAATAATAATATCGACAGAAAAAAAAACGTGAAGATTAGAGTGAGAAAAGCAACAAGTCGACTAGATTTGAGTACTGTTTAGTATTTGGTTTCCTGTTGCCGAATTGGTTGAGGCGCTGGCTATGTAAGACATGATCCGGGAACTACTTCCTTATTCCAATTTTACGCTACTTACTTAAAGAGACGAAAAAACTAATCAACATTTAATAATTAGAATATTTATCAATTAAAACAAAAACAGGAAGAAATTTTTTCGAATAAAATAATGTGCCTTCGAAATTAAAATTTCATTTTCCCTTTCAAGGGGTTAAAATTTCCTATTTCTTCTAATCTTTGTCTGAGGAACTATTTCTTTAAAGTAGTAATAGTAGCGTTGGTTATGGAAATGGTATTAAATTTTAACATAAAACGGATTTAATAGATAAGCTATGACCGAAATCCAGTTTTCTGTTTTGTGTACTTGGCATTATTTTTCATTTCATAAATATGAGGGAAAACATTTTATCGTAATTCATTATGGTCCTAAAATACTCTCTGATTCTATGTGATGGCATATGCGTGTATATAGGCGAGAGTACGTTGATGTTTACACGTCTTTATAGATGGAACTTAATGATTGAGTTCTGCAATCCTCATAAAAATAGAACCTCCCCCCCACTACTTCCTCTCCACATCACGCCCGTGGGCAAACGCTGTTCGTTCTCTTTGTGTTTATCTAACACGCAGCAATTTCGACCAATCAATTCATTTGATTCAACGTCTTTGGGTGATTGCCAGTCGCGTGAATTCGCTTTCAACTTT